CTACTTTTATTGTTGTTGTAGATAGAATCAATGACAAGAGCTCTTGCGTCGACATTATGGTGACTTTTTGTTGCCATTAAAAACTTTCAGCGGTGACTTTTCAGCTTTTAGTGGTGACTTTTATGGTTGCTAAAAGTTAATTTTTTTTATAGTGGTCCTATTATGTGCAAGTAGGGGATGCTGAAATTATATATGCGCCCTTAATGGGAATCAAATATATATATATATATAATATTGCATTGATAAGTGATAATTTAATTGTGATTTAATGAGTTGACTGGAAATCAAGAAGCTTACTTCCACACTTAAGTGGAATATTTCATCAAATAAATTCCCTCTATTATAAGGCAAATTATGATGGTTGGAATTTCCTTATTTATGGCAGCATCCCACATTGTAAATAGCAACTGGCGGCTAAAGAGAAAATTCATCCCAGAGCTAATACCCTCAACTTGTGTAATGAAAATATAAATTTGTGATATGATGACACGTGACGAGAGGTGGGGGCGACACGTAGAGGGTGACATGGTAACACATGGCAAAGGTGACATGATGCCACGTTAGTAGGTGAAACCAACATTACTTTTTAGCGACAATAAAAAGTCACTGCTAATTGGTAGTTTCTGCAATGAAAAATGTCGTCGTTGATACTTAACATTCAGCGACAACAAAATAGTGGCCGCTAATGTGTGGTTTCTACGGTAACATTTGTTGCCGCCAATTCTCAACTTTCTACAGCAGCAAGAGCTCTCACAGCTGTGAAAATTTTTAGCAGTGACTTTTCAACTAAAAGTCAATTTTTTTATATTGGTCCCATTATGTGCAAGTAGGAGATGTTGAAATTATATATGAGCCCTTAATGGGAATCAAATATATTAATGAGTAATCATAGATATATATATATATATATATATGTAATACCACATTGATCAGTGATAATTCAATTGTGATTTAATGAGTTGACTTGAAATCAAGAAGCTTACTTCCACACTTAACGTGGAATATTTCATCAAATCAATTCCCTCTATTATAAGGCAAATTAAGATGATTAGAATTTCTTTATTCATGGTGGCCTCCCATGTTATAAATAGCAATTGGTGGCTAAAGAGAAAATTCACCCCAAAACTAATACCTCTAATCTCTTCTTGGCACCATTCTTCTATCCATCTCTCTTTATGGTGCATCTGTTGCGCACTAAGAAAGGACTCTAGTAGTCCTATCTTGTATGGTGTGGGTAGTCAAGTAGACTCTACATTGACTGACTGTTTATATAGACTCTAACCTAACTCTTTTTTTTTTAATTATTATTTTGTTTATGATATCCTTCACTGTTGCTAAAGCATGAGAAAATTTTTTGAAACACCAATTAAATAGCACCGGAGGAAGTATGAAACAAGAGTCCCGTATAAAAAACAAACCAAAGAGACAGCGTAATGACACTTGGCATGCCATCAAAATTCCATTGAGTACATATTGTGCCGCCTACATGTTGTATCTAGATAGAAATCATTCGGTTTACGACATGCATGTAGGTCAAGTGGAAACTAACAACAACAATAAAATTAAAATCAGGTGTCTCGATGTTTAAACCTATAAAACGTCCCCCCATACCTCATGTTTTGTGAGTTTGACAGACACTTGCCAATATTTTATTTAAATTATAAGATTGATCAATTTGCATTTATGGATTTTACTTTAAACGTATATATGGCAAAGGGATTTATTTTGATTCAGGGTACTTATATTAAACTCTGTATTTAATATATATATATATATATATATCATATCCAAGTCTAAAGTGAGACTTTGGGACTTTATAAGGACCTTAATTATAGTTAGGGATTGTTTCTAATTTATTGAATCTTTGTGTTTTCCAACTGAAATTCCATATTTCCAAATAAATTTCCTCTCTTTCCAAGTCAATATGTTTTTCACTATGATTAATCTCCTTACAAGGTTCCAAAGTGTCATATTCCCTATATTATATCTCAATTTATTTGAAATAAAGATATTCAGATTTAATTAAAAAATCAATTAGAAATAAATTAGTTTAATCTTAGACTGCCCATATTAGACGTGTTTAAATTTTGATTTTAAGGTGGTGGCCATTTTGCTATATAGTATTAGGAGAATGACATAGAGGTCCCAAAAAGATTAATTAATTCAAGGTAGGTTCCAAGTGTCAAATTTTAGGAATTTATAATTTAATCTCTCAATTTTGCAACTTCGTTATAATAAATTTATAATTTGTATTCCAAATTTTAATAAAAAAATGATTTTTATTTGTTCTTCAACCATATTAAAATTTTAAAATTAAGTTACAAATTTATCATAATGCATTGTAAAATTGAGAGATTGAGTTGTAAATTTTTAGAGTTTGGCACTTAAAACGTAACTTGAATTAATTGATCTTTTTGGGACCTCTTTGTCATTCTCCCTATATTATTCCCTCCATTTCTAAAACATAATTCTTACAAGATTTTTGTGTTTTTATTTGTAAGCCAATATATAATGTACAATAATTAATATGCTTTTTTAAAAAAAAAAATGCCCTTAATGAATGCTTTTAATTAATTAAGAGTGTGTAAGTGAGAGAGAATATTATTAACTGAAGCGTATTTGTAGAAAAGATGAGATGGTTTTAAAATATCAGCTAGTTTTCTTGAGTTGTTTAAGGAATGCAATTTTTTTCTTATGAAAAGGAACCGATCGAGTAAATATGGATTTAATATATCACTGGTAAAGATGGATCGATTCAGCACCATAGTTATTAAATATGGGTTTCGTGTTTTTTTTTTCTTTTTTTAAACATAAATCGGTAGGAACTAGGAACCGGAGGCTGTACTCATAGACTCAGACTCTGCTCATCCTCTATTAAATATGGGCCGCCCAGATTTAAGCTAGACGATGCAGATTAAATGTTTCAATTTTAATTTTAATTTTAAGTTTATATCAGATCAAAAACTTTAAATTTTTTTATTAAATATGGTCAGCAATTTGCAGAATTCAGATTTAATATAAATTTTTTTATAATTTTAATATTAAATATGCATTGTCCATAGTATATCAAGATAATCAAATTTATAAAAATTATAATTTTTTTATTAAACCTAAACACCAAGATAGTCCAAATTATTATTCAATCTACACTGCTAAATATATCTGGATAATCAATTCATAAAAAATATAAAAATTTAATATTAAATTTTGACTATTCATATTGTTGATCAGATTAAATTTTTATTATAATTTTTTTCTTTTAATAAAAATAAAATTAAAATTAAAATTAAACGTTTAATTTAGGTTGTCTAAATTGAATTTGGATCAACAGAGGGTGGGAGGGAGAGTGTGAGGAAAGAAGCTAAGTCCAATAATACATTATAGTGACAATAACAAATGACACTTCTTTTTCTTTTTTCCCTTGGGATAAATAAGAAGGGAAACTTTGATTGATAAAATGATAATTTGATTCTTAAACTATAGGCTTAGAAATGTTTGAAAATTCTAAACTCATTTTTTATTCTTTTTCACCCTGAACCTCTTAAAATCATGAGAATATTCCCTCTACCATTAATTTTGACCGTTAGTTATATAAAAAAAATTATAGAAAGAGACCTCATCACAAATTACAGAAAAATGACTTTTCCTGTAATTTTTTAGTTCTTTTCTATATTTCTTTTAGTCCTTTTCTGTAATTTTTTAAAATTTTTTAAAATTTTCTAATTGACTAACTGTTAAAGTTATTAGCAAGGGGGATATTGCCTTGATTTTAAATTTTAGGGAGTGAAAATGTACCAAATTTAATTGATGCCTTCGGAAATTAATTGAGTATGGGTTTTATATTTTAATCATGTTTATATTATAAGTATTTATGATTTCTTTATAATGCAGAGAGATCAGAGATAGAGACTGCACCCCCCGACGACCATGTGGGGAGAATATCAATGAGAAAATTATAATACATTGGCACTAATTTTATTCAATTTTCTATATTATTTAAATCAAGTATGCATGTGGTAGGCTGTTAGTTGACTTCTGATTAATAATGAATCTGCCTTGCTACAATAGCATCATTCAGTTTGATTCATGATTGCAGAGCTCCATTGCAGGAAGTTACAAGTCAAAACCTTCATCCGCCAATCTTGATTTTATTTTTATTTGTGTTTTTAAATTGAAAACAATTAAAGGAAGGAAAGGAAAAGTCAACTCGTATTTTTATTTATTTCAGAATTCCTTAATGGAAAGAGATGATTTAGACTTCATATATTACTCACGCCCTCCCAATTTATAAGATACCAAATCACGTATATAAATAAAATTCATTAAAAACACTTTATAAATTAATTTTTTTTAAAACAAGAATATAAACTTTTAAAAACACCCTTCATTTAATATTTTGTTTGTGAAAAAAATGTTAAAAAGAGCAAATATAATGTGAAGAGTAATATTAAAAAAGTATTATTAATGAAACCTTACTTATGTCAAAGTATTTTATATTTTGAAATACCAAATCTTCTTTAAAAGTATATGATAAATTGGGATGGAGGGAGTATATTATACTCCCCCAAAATCATCATACTCCTTGTCTATTTCAAATATATTTGAGTGTGTGTATATATATATATAAATTTTTCTTATTATTCTACTTTTCTGCGTTGTTGTTGTATCTAAAAGAAAACATTTTGATTAAAAAAATTCAAACTCAAATTCAATAAATTCGTAATTCCAACCAAAAAAAAAAAGAAAATTGGCTCCTTTAATATTTTAAACTTTCGTATTTTTGAAGTCTAAAATTTGTTTCCCAAACAACGCTTTGAAAGCAGCTCCACCATTACGTAATCGTGTATATCGAATCAAATTATTGAAGATAATGATGATAAACAATAATATAATTATATCCACATTAATATAATCAATATCATGACATACATACATACATACATACATACATATATATGCATTTCCTTGTTCTACAATGTCTGTCTTTATTCCAGTGAAGAGAGAGGAGAAAACAAAGAAAAAGACTCCTCACATCACTATATATAAAAGTGAGCATCTTGGAAGATCTATATATATATATATAGAGCCCAGCTTAGCTTCTTGGTTCTTGTTCAAATTCGCAAGAAGACAGTATTGCGATAATTCAGAGGGATGAGCATCGAGACGTTGGATGAGATGCTTGTGTCAAGCTGGTACAACGCTCGTTCCTCGGTGCCATCACCGTACATACAGCCACCGGAATGCAGACCAGGGAATCTCGTCGTCGCTGCAGCTTCCGGTGAGACAATTCCTGTGGTTGATCTTGGAGGACATGATCGAGATAATATTGTGAAGCATGTCTTGAAAGCTTCCGAGGAGTATGGGTTTTTCCAGGTTTCTTATATATAAATCTCTCTCTCTCTCTCTCTCTCTCTCTCTCTCTCTCTCTCTCTGATGTCTCTCGTTCTCTCTCTCACACACACAATCTCACACGCACAGCAAGTTTTCATTCTTGATATTATGCAATTAGGACTGTATTGTCATACACATACTTTTTATGAAGGATTTTTTTTTTGTTTTAATCAATTAAAAGTCCTTATTAAATTGGTATTAAATTATCTTGAATTTTTTTGAAACTCAAAGATTGCTTCCTAACATGGAAGGGGGTTTTTTAAAATATAAGAAACATTTTTCTAATATAAGAATATATAAAAAAGATATGTGTCGATGTTATAAAAAAATAGACAAGAAGTCCATGTTTTCTACAAAAATAATTGAAGTACTTAATATAAGATCTTGTTTTTGTAAAAAATATATAACAAATATATATATATATATATATATCATAAGTACAATAACAATTTCCCTTCATTAAGTACTTGATATTTCGAAAAGCAAGTAGTACTTACCATCTATATATTTCTCATAATTAGTAATTAATTTACCCATAGAAGTGGTGGCACCGTTGAAGGTTAGTGCTTTTTGATCTGCAAGACCTGATCCAATTTTGGTAAGCTTTTTTTAGGACCTAACTAACCGCAACTTATATAGATTGAAAAAAGGGGGAAAAAAACCTTCTGCTGGTTTCTATAACAAGGCAACTCTAAATAACTTACTCATACCAATGAGAAGTGGTTATATGTCATTAACTTTATTTGAAAATAGAATAAGTCAATAAACTTTTAATTTTACCCCTATAAATGAAAAAAAAATTCAAATTTATATTACATTTTCTCATATAATGAAAGAGTTTAAATAAGGAAAATATTGGAAAAATGTAATTAATACTCCATCAAAAGTCTTATATTAAGGACTCCGGAATACATTTAAAAAGCGCCCTATCATAATGACGGGAGGGAGTGGATGTAGTTTCATTATGTTCGTGTATCAGATTTTACATCTCGACTAAGAAAGAATAATGCATACATGATTTTCATCATTCCTAATGATTAATCCTTATAAATTAACTGTGATGTAGGTGATCAGCCATGGAGTTTCGAAGGATTTGATGGATGAAACTCTAACTATTTACAAGGAATTTCATGCGATGTCTGGGAAACAGAAAGTGAGTGAATGTTCTAAGGATCCAAATGGAAGCTGTAAGCTGTACACAAGCAGTCAGAAATACAATAAAGAGGCAATTCAGTATTGGAAGGACTCATTGACTCACCCATGTCCTCCTTCTGGAGACTGCATTCAGTATTGGCCGGAGAAACCAACCAAGTACCGGTAATTTTCACATCTACTTCAACAAGCTTCGGATTTACCACTAATTGGATCACCCAAACAAAAAAACTTAATATATGGTTTGGATTATTTTCATCTTCTCATTTTGAAAAAATTCTTGTATGGATTTAATACACCACGTCATTCATGCTTTATGTAATAAAATTATGTCATTTCAATCAAATAAAATATTCTATATGGTTTGGATTATTTTCATCTTTTCATTTTCAAAAATTTTTATATGGACTTTGTGCATCACATCATTCATGCTTTATATAATAAAATCATGCCATTTCAATAAAATATTATTTCTATTGATTTTATTTTTAGAATCTATTTATATTCATAGTCATTTGACATGGCATGTTTTTATTAGATGATATACAAATAACACGATACAAGGGTCTGTGCAAGAATTTTTCTTTTTCATGACCTCTATTGCAACTTTGTTTGATAGGTTTTATAAATTATATTAAGGGTAAAAGAGTGAATTGGCCATAAAATAGGTCTAAGAATATCAGAGGCTCTAAACTCATTTTTGATGTAATGTTTTCTTTTAACTTTTGAAAACGATGCAATCTAGATCCTACCTTTAACAAAAAAATAACTTTAATCATTTCTCTATAATTCTTAGATCCTTGTATTTAATTTTTAGGTCCTTTATATGATCTTTTTGTCATTTTCTGCAATTTTTGAGGTTATTTTCTCTCATTTTTTGATCAACTAATAGTCCAAAGTAATTTTTATCAAGAGCAATCAGATTGTACTGTTTTCAAAAATTGAAAGGAATTATGTTGCATCAAAAATGAGTTTAAGATTCCAAACTCTTGAGCCTATAGTTTAGAGTGTTTTTTTTAAACTCTTTTACCCTTATATTAATTACCAATTTGCAATATTTTACAAGTAACATTATGTCTAATTTATGGAGATCTATTAGATATATGCATTTAATGGTGGTGGAAATTTTAATATGTTCATTTGACTTCAATTGCCTTTAAAGGACACGTCATGAATATTATATTATATCATCACGAAGTGATGAGCGTTAAACATGATCTTACACAATTGGATGCTATTCTGTTAATAAAAAATTGACATGACCTAGAAAATTAAACTTAGACAGCATTATAATAATTCAGAACATATATAATATAAATATCGTCACCGTTTTGAGTTTTTCATTGTAGTTCTTTTCGACCAGATTCATTGTAGTTCACCTTCCCTATAATTATTTAATTCTTACATATATCATTACGGAAAATAATCATACATCATTGATATATTCGTCCTCAATTAGATGACGAAACATTTAATTTAAAATACTAAATATGCTACTGAGAAAACCCAGGTCACATGCCCACATCAATGCTGTCACAATTATAGATAGGGAGAATTAGGTCCAAGTCTCAACACATGAATTAAATATCACAAAGTTTATTGAAAACTAGGTCTAGCAAAATGAAAACTTAAAAGCTTGACTGTTAATGGACCTTATATTAATTGCTCACTCTGGTTTTATAATGACAAGTCACTTCTAGCATTTAAATTTGAATCAAGAAAAACCTTAAACTCTATTATCTCAATTTAAAAAGTCAACAAGTTTTTAATTTTACTCCTATTAAATATATATATATATATATTTTAAAATAAAATACTCTTGCATTTAATATCATTTCAAACACTTAATGAGAGCAAAAAGATAAAGATAAACACAATAATCATTGTGATATCTTATAAATAGAGCCAAGACAATACTCTCTCTCTCTCTCTCTCTCATGGATAGGACATGAGGAATATATTCTGAGGGACCTGAAAGTAATTCTCTCTTATTAATATATTTGAAAAACCGAATGAACCTATCTTTGATATATTTATATCTTACACAACCTATGCAAGGAAGCCACTAATTTCCCTTGATTAAACAATTTTATCAACCAACATGTTTTGTTTCGGTTTTCTTCAGCGAGGTTGTTGGGAAATACACAAGAGAACTGAGAAAATTGGGGCTGAAAATTTTGGAGTTGCTTTGTGAAGGTTTAGGGCTAAACCCTAGTTATTTCAGTGGTGATCTCTCCGAAAATCCTGTGATACTGGTTCATCACTATCCTCCTTGCCCTGAACCAAGCTTAACCTTGGGTTTAGCAAAGCACAGAGACCCTACAGTAATAACAATTCTGCTTCAAGAGGTTCATGTTCAAGGACTTCAGGTCCTCAAGGATGGACACTGGATTGGAGTTGAACCTATGCCTTATGCCTTTGTGGTTAACATAGGGCTTATCTTACAGGTATTTATATTCAATTTCTTAATAAAATCTGCATTATTCTTGCAGTTTGCTCAGTTTCACATCAATTGGTAGCGTGTGTTAAGGATGTACTCCTAGTAATCCTATTCCTAAGTTGTTTCTAACATGTTTTACTGAGAAAGAAATTTAAAATTTATTAACTATGTCTAAAATTTAATAAGCTTCTAACTTTATCCCTATTAAATATACATACTCTAATAATATATTTTCTTTCACCAATATTTAATAAGAGTAAAGGAGAAAACTTATAAAAAAATTTAATGACATGACTTATAAATATGATCAAAAAATTATTCTCTCTCTGCCTTATAAAATTTATGCTTATTTTAAAGTATTATTTATATATATATATACATACACATATCATGTTTTGGTGAACTTATAAATTTTAAATGTTAATGCAATTTTAAAAAGTTATAATTTTGATAATAATTTGCTTATATCTAGTCATTATAATAGTAAGTTCCTTAAAATTTAGTAGAAAGTCTCTTATACACGCAATAATAGCTTTGTAAATTATTATGATTTTTCAAATTACTTGACTTATAATTTTTTTATAGCAAAATGTTTAGTTGAGTTGATCTACTTGACTTATAACTTATAGTTTGCATATCTTTAGATATAAATTTCGCAATTAAACAATAGGATAAGGGTTAAAGGGCATTTTAGCCACTCAATTATTTACATAGGAGCACCTATTATCCTAAACTTTCATGTCGTGCAATTTTTCTTTCAACTTTTGTAAATGGTGCACATAGCATCCTATCATTAGAAAAGTCAACTTTGATTGTTAATTACATTAAAATTGTAGGAAAGGATCTCAAAAGTTACAAACAAAGACTCATAAAATTACACAAGTACCCTATAAAAAAATTAATACAATCAATTAAGTTTCCTAAATTATATATAAATAACAGGATGTAAATGTTATTTCTTTCCCATGTAAAAGGCCAAAGTTTTTAGTTATTTATAATTTTATGGGTTATTTTCTGTAATTTTTAAGTTTTTTTGTAAGTTTTCAATAAATTAATTGTTAGAGTTAGCTTTTTTAACAACAGGATATTTAATGTACCATTTGTAAAAATTAAACAAAAAATTACACTATATGAAAGTTTAGAATATTAGGTAGTGCACAGCGAATAGTTGAGGGGTCTTTAACCCATAATGTAAACAAGGTATATGGCAATAATTTACATAAAAAGAAAAGTGGAAAACTTTCATTAAAATTCAAGAAGATATAATTGTTTTTTGATTTTGATGAAACTCCTCATTTGCGACTGATGTGTTTCATTATTTTAATTCTCATTGTCATTATTATTTTTCATTGACGTACTGAAGTTGAACAAACATGGAAGGAAATGTTTTCCGAACATAATTGATTACGTCAATCACTTTAATATCAAAATAAACTTTTGACCCTTCTTTCAGTTGTGTAAATGATAAATTATAGATTAGAAGTCATAAACTGATTGATCAACTTAATTAATTACATATACGCTATTTGACTGAAACAGATAATCAGTAATGGGAGGCTTATTGGAGTTGAACACCGAGTAGTGACGAATTCAAGCAGTTCACGAACAAGTGTTTCCTATTTCATTTATCCTTCAAATGAAAGCATTATAGAACCTGCAAAAGCTTTAATCAATGGAAGCACCACAACAATTTACAGATCCATGACTTGTGCAGAGTTTAGAAGAAATTTCTTCAACAAAGGTCCTAAGGTTGAAGATGAACTGCAGTCTTAAATAAATCTGACAAGCTAAGAAACTGAAGCAGAAAGCCAAACAGTTTTGACTTCTCAGACAAGAACAACTGCTTCATGTAATTGTCTTTGAACCATTAAAATAAGTTAAAGGTAAAAAACAATAAAGCTTGGCTACTTGGGTTTTTAAGTCCATACGATTATGCTGTCTTGGACGGTAATTATTTTCTTTTATAGCGGTGGGAATGAGCGAAATCCGTGAGCACATAATGCTTGTTTTTTTATTTGGATAAAATACAATGCACTGTGTATGTTGTTCTTGTTGAAAGTATCCCATTAATTAGTCAAAATAATTATAGAATGGTTTATGAAACGAACCTGTGAAATCCATGATTGTAAAGATACAATATGGTCTCAAGTAAATGTCTTGATCAACCTCGAGACTAGGCAAATTTACAAACTTCTAGGGCCCCAGGCCCTAGCTTTAAAGAGAGTATAGGAGTTGAGAGAGAGAGAGAGAGAGAGAGAGAGAGAGAGAGAGAGAGAGAGAGAGGAACTAGTCTGGCTAAGCACTTGTCATAGGGTCTCATGTTTCAACATGCAAAAGACCAATTCAAAAATCTCATCAAAATTATAATTAATTAATCCTTCAGTCATTCTCTCATAAGTTTTGACTCTATCGGCTTTGCCATAGGGAGAAAAAAAATATTGCTAAAAAGTTTAGGTAGGGTTGGAAAAAAGCATAACCTTATCATGGGCCTATAGCCTAACTTATTTTAGGGTCAGCCTTACCTATTTACTAAATACTTTCAGGCTAGGTCCATGCCTTCGATTAGACTTATTTTTATAAGACCTAACCTACAATGCTAACCAGTTAGCCTAATACACACACATATATATGGGATTAAAGGGCAAAAATGCCCTGAAACTTTTTCTCCAGAGCTGCCTGATATACTAAACTTTTTTTGGAGCATTTTTGCATTGAAGCTTTTAAATATTGAAAACATTGACTATTAAACTGAAGTTTGACTAAGGATATTTTTATATTTTGCCCTCCTTCCTTTTATGTTTAGTCTCCGATTTTTGTAACATCCTTAATTTTAAATCACAATTAATTAAGTTCAAATAGACTAATGAAGTGTATTTCTGAGGTGTGTTGTCAGAGAGGCCTAACTGGTATGTTTGGTCTCGATTTCAGTTCTAAACGTGAGTTTAAAGGAGAATCAGTCACTCGGGAATGGAAGAGAAAGAATTTCTGAAAAGATTCTGTGTCACGTGCCGCGGCTTATGGTTGGTCCACCGCGGCGCATGCGTAACAACACGCCTAGGAGAGGCTCTCTGTGCCATATGCCATGGCGCATTGTACGTCTGCTGTGGTGCATGGTCAGAATTTTACAGTATTAAGTCATAAACTAAAAGTGGAAGAGAAGAGAAAACAAAAGGAATCGAGGGAGTGATGAAAAAGTTGAGCTAGGGCTTGAAGAAACTGATTATTGGGAGTAAATTGGAGCTCATAAACACTAAAGGTAAGCTTCTTTGCTTAAATCCTCCTCTCTTCTTCTATTTTCTTGATGGTAGAGGTCAGGGTTTAATTATTAATGGTGATTTTCAGTCCATGAAAATTATGAGTCCAAATCCATTGACCTAAATAGAGTCAATGGGAGTAGATTGAGCTAAGTAAACTTGATATTTATGATTTTATAATGATTGGTGGTTGGAAGATATTAAATGTTTGAAATTCCCATAAATTTAGTAGTTGGGAATAATGTTGTTTCATTAATGCCCATCTAAGAGCTCAATGTTATTAATGAGAGTTAAAGGAAGCTAACAAGTCTTAGAGATACTTTTACATGAGTCTAGAATAAATCTTGAGTATTAAGAAATGATGAAATATTAGTGAAAAATAGCTCAGAAATGGATATTGATGTTTTGCATGGTAAATGCTTGGCACCATTTAAGCTTCTTGGAAGCTTCAGGAGTGAGTAGTTGAGAGGTAAAACTTTTGATCTCTCAAAAGTTTAAGGTAACCGGGAGAATTCTATCTTATACTTGTGTGTGTTTATTAGTTTATTGATTTATGATCTATCATTGAAATGTATAAAATAAAAAGAAATGCAATTGTGGCTTAATTTATTAAGAAATCCACTAGATCAAATTTGTGAGTTTTATGCTTTGTGATGTAAAATTTCCTTGAGAATAATAGTGGTGGATTTCCGTATTAATATTTATTGGGAGTTCAATGATTTTGCAAATTGAGAAGTAACATGAATCTTTTTTAAGAGAAGTTCAATGATGTTTTAAAATAGTAGAGTTCAATGATTTTGAAAGTGTGAAATACATTGATTATGAAGTTGGAGTTCAATGACCTATTTGTTTTGAAGTTCCATGAAATGTGATTAAGAAGTTCAATGATTGTGTAATGACGAAGTTCAATGAAAATTGATGTGTGAAGTTCTATGAACTATATATGTGTGAGTTATGACATGAATGTGCATGGCATGATCTTGAGAGGCGGGAATTCGCCTAGGAAGCGGAGTTGATGATAAAATTCACGTGGTAAGGCCCCATATGTGTAATGGTTTGCCTAAATTGATTCTATCAATATTGTCCCACTTGTTCAACGAGGGACTATCTTACTAGTTCAACGAGGGACTCGAACCTAACTAGCTATTCGCCGGTTTAATGAGGAGGCTAGTCTAGGGTGTATGACACCCCATAGTGTGAGAAATGGGGGAAACCATGATCCATAAGTGAGTTGGGTGTGCCTTGAACGAGTAATCCCCTCACAAGTGTCCCATTGAGTTATAGCCCACGGTTTCGTGTTAGAGGAATAAGGAGGATATAAGGGAGTGTGATCACACACATAGTGAGTAAAGGCACTTGTTGTCTATATTGAATCCATAATGATAACATTTTAAGTTGAGTATTAATTTATGCCATTATGTTTGTCAATAATTTGTGTGACCAACTCTATGTATATAAAAAAGTGCTAAAAGCATTGTTTTCCAAATAGATGCTATTATGTGAGCTAAATTGTGAATAACTAATTTCAATTGTCTCATATAGGTTAAAATATTAATATTAACTACTACTTGTATTTAAACTAATTGATATGCATTAGTATGGGTTAGTTAGACCTCGATTACTGAGTAGTTGTACTCATTCCATTATCTTCAATATTACAGGGAATAGCTCAGGAGGTGTGGACAGAGGAAAACACCCAGAGGCTTAAGATCGTGATCCTTTGTATTAGACCTCCTTATTTTGGGTAAACTTATGTGTATGACAATCTCAATTGCCAACTAATATTTTTCTTCTGTCACTTACTTGCATTAAGTGAAATGTAAATTGCAATGGTATTTTAGGCCTTAGGGAGAGAGTTGAATATTATGTGTTATGGTGATAGGGCCAAAATACTAATGCAAGTGAGGGTTGAGAATATTATATGATGATCTGGGAGAACTTGATAAAATTGTGGTAAACTCCACCTTTCTATGTTTTTAAGTTTAAGGGGTAGAGTACTGGAAATTTAATCTGGAAATATTCCTTACATTATGGTGCATTGCACGAGTTGGTTTTGATGATTTATATGTGGTCATTTTGGTGTGGGTAGCTGTTGGTCCTTGTTATTTGGTTTAGACACTTGAAGTTGTGAAATCTATTGCAAAAGTGTAAGTTTTGAAAAAAGTGTCCAATTTTTATTTTAAGAAAAATTTGAGTCTGAAACTAATTTCATTAGTTAGAGCCAGGAAAGCGCTTTCTATAGGCACCTAGTTCGCGTTATTCAGATTTTGGACGACTATCAAATAGAGCCTTCAACATGAGCCTTATTTTTTTACCTTCCGCTTTAATGTGCACAAAAATCTTTCAAATGGATATATCTACCTATATTGTACAAGTCTACCAACAATAGCTTCATATACAAGTGAATAGGTAGATGCTCCATAACATCAAAAAAACTTGGACAAAATATCTTCTCAAGATTGCACAAAATAATAGGAATGTTATGCTCCATCACTTTAAGGCTATCGACACGTAACGTTGGAGCACAAAGATCTCGAAAAAAATGGCTTACCTATGTCAAAGCTTCAAATGTTGAGTTTGGCAAACCATTGCATATTATTGGAAGTAACCTCTCCATAAAAACATGGCAACAAAGACTTTTCATTCCACCTAATGTATAACTTTTAAGTTTTCCCCCATCCACACACTGCTTGCTTTTGCTCCATGTTAAAGCCATATGGAGCATCAAGTTTTTTTTTCATTTTTTTCATTACCTAAATCTTTCATGTGTAGAGATGGTCAGTTACAATATTTGGCAAAATCTAATCTTACTTTTTCATTGTCTTTTGTCTTACCTTTCACATCCATCATTGTATTGAACACATTATTAAAGACATTTCCCTCAATATGCATAACATCTTAATTGTATGGATTTTTTTAGATCACGCCAACAAGGGAGATCCTAAAATATATTGCGTTTAGTCAAATTATGTTCCACTTGATAGCCCTCTAAATGCAAGTTCTATTTATCAGTTATTTTTAAGAATCCCCTAACTTATATAATTCATCTCTTAAATACCTTAGTGGAGGTGGTGAATTTTCTATAATATTTTTTTTTTGAAAATTTTTTTGTTCCTCCTATAAGCATGATCTTCAGGCAAAAATTACCTATGACAGTCAAAATAGCAAGTTTTTATCCCATGTTTAAAAAAAAAAAGCCTTTGAAGAGGCCATACAAATTGGACATCTTAATTGCCTTAATGTTTGCCAACCACTTAACATGCCATAAGTTGGAAAGTCATTCATAGTCCACAAAAGGATAGCCCTTAAAGTGAATTTTTTTTTTTGACGAAATATCATAAGTTAAAACTCCATCTTGCCAAAGCATCTTCAACTCATTAATAAGAGGTTACAAAAAAAATCAATTTTACTCTTTGGATTACTCGGCCCAAGTATTATGATTGTTAGGAACATGTACTCATGTTGCATACACATACGAGGTGGAAAATTATAGGGGGTAACAATCACTAACCAACATGAGTATGGCCTTGAACCCAAGCCAAATGAATTGAAACCATCAGCATAAAGCCCTAACCTGACATTTCTAGGCTCTGAAGCAAATTCTGGATGAATTTGATCAAAATGCTTCCATGCACTACTATCTGATAGGTAAGACAACGCACTTTCTTCATGA